AGTAATCTTCAAGCTTTGTGTGTGTGTGTTGCAAAATTGCCTGGCAAACAGGCAAAAGAAAACAGAGGAAAGTAATTTTTGTGCCCTTTCTATAAGAAATAAACAATAAATGGAAAGCCTACAAAACCTACATACAACATATATATATACATATAATATATATATATGTATATTTACATTAGAGTAATATTGAAAAGAAAATAGGTGCCTGGTATGAATTGATGTAATTTTTTGATGCCAACAGCATGAGTTTACAGCAATTAAGATGTGACTTTTGCAATTTCCCTTTAGCAGGAAGGACATCTTTTTGAGTTGGTTTTGTTGAATTTAGTGACCATGTAATGCATTGTTACAACTTTAAAATGCACAGGTGAAGCATCTGCATCCTCACTAGTTATACCTACTTGGATATCTAGGAATGTAACGACTCCAGATGCAGACGCAGCTGCTCTACCTGTGCATACAAAAGACAAAGAAACATATTTTTATGCATAGCTGCATGCACATTTTTGAAAATCTGGATATCTAAGGGTTATTCTATGAAGTAGCAGAATGTATATCAAATGCAGCAAACATACCACTAAATCTATCCAATTTCAGTAAATTTTCTTATTCTCTCTGTTTCTCTCTCTCATTTTTTTTTTTTTTAATTTAATAACCATGGAAGATTGGTGGGTGAATACGGAGAGATACACTTTTGAATATGAGGGGGTGGAAGAAAAAAAAAAGGAAAAGAAAAAAAAATCAAGAACTGCTAACTGCAACAAAAACAATATAATTCAAGATTATTCTTAGATACTTAAGCCAATGAATGAATCTAACCTTAGTACATTAATTTGTGATACATAAAAATAGTTAATGTGTTTTGTTTTATTTGTTATTTGGTTGAGCAGATGGTAATGGTTTTGACACAATTCAGGATATTTTATTTTTCTTTTCTTTTCTTGAAAAAGACAAGGCCCTTTTTCCCACTTTGTCACAGCTGGTTACCAATCAATCTCAATTCACGGTACAGTGATGATAGCACATGTTGTTCAGGGGCCAAATCTGATTGGGTTGCATTTTCAGCAGTGTTTCATATAAAAAAAAAAAAAAAAAAAGAAAAAAAAAGTGTCTGTATGGCAGTGACTGTCAGCACACTATTGTACAACTGTCATTAATCAAACTAGCAACAATGAGTGCATTCATATGTGCCAGAGACTGCCAGATTTCACTCAAAATCACCCAATTTCTATTAGAATTTCCTCACCAGCAATGTTTCCTCATCTGCTTGTTGTTTCTGTTTGACTCTTCCTTCGCAGTCCCCTGCCTCCCTTCTTTCTTGGGTAATTAAAGACAGACCTACTGGAGCTAGGACATGTACAACACAAGTTATGTAACACGATGCCCAAAAGTGGCTGGGTTTTATCCCCACACAAGCTGACTAGCTGTTTAAAAGACCTCTTCTAGTTTAGTCAGATGGCTGAAGTTTAAGCTAAACTGAAAGGTTAAGCACCTCCAAATGTTTAACAAAGGGAAGTATTCAGAACCAATTAGATGGCCATAAACATATGAAGCCCATGTCTGACACCCTACATTTTGTGTTGAAATTTGGCATTACTTGGCTAGGAGTCAGCAATATTTGGGTAATACGTTGGAAGGTGTTTCTTGATGCTGCACGTATTTTGAAGGCAATGCCTTCTTAGCACACCAGCAAAGTTAAGGACCTGCATAACCAGTACAGCCTGGTTTTCTGCCACTCCATCATCAACCTCTGTCTGTGACTGGTATTGGCAGTCAGAGAGGCCCTGAGCCTGGTTCCCAAGTGTCAGCTTGGAAGTGATCCAGGTGAGAGTGATCTTCTCCAGAAACCCAGGAGGAAACTTGTTGCAGGCATATGAAGCTCTTGGATCAAGAGGTCACCAGGCACTATTCAAGACTTCACAGGCCGTTGCTTGAGAAACTGAAAGGATACAAGCACATTCAGCCTTCACGACTTGCTTCACAGTCCCTTTCTCACACAAGTTCCTTGTGCTGCTGTGGATCAGCTAAAGCTGAAAACCAGTTTTCTTCCTTTCTCCTTCCTGCCTGTCAAAGCTCTTCACTGAACCGTGGTGACTTCTGGGGACAGAGTGGGTGGAACAGATGACTGCGGGGAAACATATCAATACTTCAGGACAGCAGATGGTTATAACATCCCATGGGTCCGTCTATATATGAATCCAATTGCTAGACGGCATGTTCTGCCAGGGTGGTCCAAAAACCCAGCATGTCCTTGTTGGAGAAACAGACAGGGAGAGCTGGGCCACTCCTTGAAGTGATTGGTAACTGGGCCATGACAGTGACATGTTTACTCCCTCCATTTCTTGACCCAAGTGGGAGATTATGACTGTGCTCTCGCTCTGCGTCCTGGCATGCCATGCAGCTGGCTCTTTCCCCCAGCAGCCTTTGCACAATTTGCATGATTGGCAGGTGCAAGCATAAAGACTGCTGAAGCCTCCAAGGCAGCTGGCTGGCATGCCGGCACCAGCACGCCAGTGAGATGAAGAGCGAGTCAGCTGCAGCCCACAGCAGACTGTAGGGCCCTGTCCCAGGCTGCCTGCATCCCATTTCGAGCAGCCAGCCAGTCAGATTCAGCCCTGCTGCCTGTCTGGTTTTATCTCAGCAGCGGTAAGTCAACCACAGGGATGGTATTAATCTTTAAAAAAAAAAAAAAAAAAAAAGTCAGTGTAACAAAATAAGTGGCTAATTTTTCCCCAGCTTTATAATCGTGATTCCTGTATCCAACCCATATTTACATTACAGCTTATCTTAGTTTTATCATCTTAGAGGAGCCGAATACAACTTCATGTTTTCGGTCCCCTAGTGCTGGCCTTGTGTCAAGAAAATGAGTGTTTTCTTTTGTCTGTAACTCTGCGGTCGCCAAAGACAAATAACTGCTCCATTGTTTTGGGATACTGTTGTCATATTCTTGAGATTTTTAAGGGAGACCATTTGCCTTTTCTCTATTATGGAAAAATTGATTCTCTTTGCCATTGACTAGTGCAGCACAGCATGCAAAACTACCTAATCTGTGAACAGTTGAGAAGAAATGTGCCTCAGCTGCATATGGTTTTGGAATGTGTATTTGCAATAGCTCTGTACTGATCCAGAAAACGTGTATGAAGCTCTCTGTTATCATAACTATTTTTGCCCCTCAATGGTATTACACTAGCAAAAATGGTCCCTAAAAAATTCAGTAGAATGCCATGGCACCTAGTTATTTTTCCCCTTTGCATATCTCTTATCAGTTAAATCTGACTAGCAACATTTATATACAATTAAGTGTAACTGCTAATGAAATGGATATGATCTGTGTTTATGTTTTTCTCTGACAGAACAGTTAGCCACAATTTGGTCTTCTTTAATTCATTTTTTACTAATGAATAGACCTAGTGAATATAGAATGAAGCTGAATTGTGTTGTGATGAATGTAAAAAGATGCCTTGATTTGTCTTTATTCTTGGAATTACTTTACTAGTAATACTGTAATTAATGTTGTGGGCTTTACTTAGACATAACAGAACTTTAAACGTTTCAACATATATGATCCTTTGAGTTAAGATGCTTTTAAGTCTCTTAGTACAGTACTCTCGCTACAGATCTATAATAAAGGAGCCAATAGCAATGCACGTAATGTATATATTTGATGTTCCCAAAACATTTAAACAATACTCATAGATGGAGCCTCACAACATTTCTGTATGTAATAGCATTAAATTCTTACTCATCAAAACATGTAAGTGTGCCCTTCTTTATCATTTCAGTATGTTCTCTGAACAAGCTTGTGGGGTCTTTGCTATATAACAAAGAGAAGGTAAATTAGTTTTTCTAAAGTTAGTGAGCATCTATACCATTACAGTACTGACATCTCATGAGGTCTAGATCTTTCTTTAGTCTCATGTGCCTCTTTTGCTATTTAATGCACGAGAATCTGAAGCTAACTCTTGGTTCAAGGTGACTTAATTAAGGTATCAGGGGCTTACATATAGAAAAAATATCATTGAGAATAATTTTACAAGAGAGTATTTCAAGAGCAAAATATCCATGCTGAGTATCTATGATGTTTTCCCGATTCGGGAGCCAAAGAAATTTCTTACAAGTCTTCAGTTGACTTTAACGAGTTTTGCATCAGAGCCTAAAATAGTTTGTTAATCTTGACTTCTACAGGCTGATAACAATTTAACTGTGAATATTTTCCTATTTTTCTTGACTGAGTTACTCTCCTGAATGAATGTTCACTGCCTGCTGAAGTGTTTTGTATTATTTCAAATTTTATATATCCTCATAGTTTTAGAATTTTTACAACAGCAGAAACAAAGAAATGGACAAAGCATAATTGAAATGTTTTGAATTTATTTTAAAGAAGAGAAAATGTTATAGTCCACTAAATGAATCACTCTGTAGTATTTCTGTGAAATTGATAAATCTCCTTTAATGTGCCTCTTCAATAAATGTCACATTCTAGAGCTTAAATATATTTTTATTGTTTATAATATTATAGTGTCAGATCCTACAAGTATGCCTAAGGGGTTGCTGCTCTAGAGAAAAACTGTAAAGGAAAAATTCCAAATCAGCCAAAGGTAAAACATGTAGCTCACTCATATAGGCATGATAAACCTGAGCTGTCATGTATTGATAACTGATGTCTGATAGCTTAATTTTATCATATTGCTCTAGATCAAGGACAAAGTGAAAGATATTATTAATAAAGCCCTAATACTGAGTGAACATAGCAATACTAATTTTATGTAAAGTTTCTAACTAATGCAGAGTGCAATAAAAATGTCATGAAGATTAATGCTTGGTGGAATTATCTAATGCTAGATAATAATTTATCTTCCAAAGTTGGGAAGTTGGATCCAAGATAGATTCAGACTGGCATATTCCAGGTGAGAGTTTTTGTTCATTTCTGTTGGCTACAGAATACGTTTCCATTCTTTTTTTTTTTTCTTTTTTTTTTTTTTTTTTTTGTAACACAGGTATGACATCAAAGATGACTACACTTTGCGCATTAAGAAGGCTATGAGCACAGATGAAGGAACCTACACATGCATTGCAGAGAATCGAGTCGGAAAAGTGGAAGCCTCTGCTACCCTTACTGTGCGAGGTGAGTGTTCCTGTGGAGAGAGAGCCTGTGACCTGTATGGATCAATTGCTTTCTGTCATAATGGGCCACATCCTTACAGGGCTTTTGTTTGGGTTTCGCACATCCTTTGCAGTTGTGGGTGCTGCACTGATTTGCAACAGAGCTGAAATCCTGGTCCTGTTGGTATCTCAGGCAAAATTGTAGTTATATCCTGTAGGACAGGATTTTTCTGCAGTTAATGATCTGTTCCAATATTATTTCTTTTATCGAAGAATAGATGCACAATGCATATACATTCATAAGCAAGCACTATGTAACCGTGGACATACACTTTAATATGTGAGCCATCGGTTTAGGCTATTATTATTAGGGTTCCTTTCCCTAATAAATATAAGAAATGTAGTACCTATGTTTATCTCTGCCAAAAATAATGCAGATAGTATTATTATACAATTATCTCTGCTGTAATTAAACTCTCTGTCACTACTCTTTATCTGTAAGATAAAGCCAAGTCAAAAGAAAAAGAAAATCTTAATTAATTTTTGTAAGTATTACAAAGTAACAACTGACATATTCTCTCTTTAAATATTCCTAGTCTCCAGTATCCATACATTTTTTATCTGGTGCTTTTTGATGTGGGAAGGAGGTTTTAAAACCAGTAGAGTAATGACTTGCCAAAATGTCTTTTGTGACAGTAGATATAGACATGCTAAAGATTATGGGGAGCGAAAAAGTTTGTGGGCTAATATTTCCATATGAGTAAATAGGATACAGTAGTTATTACTTCATTCCAAAAGATAAGCAGCAATTTGGCACAATGGATATCATGCAGATACTATTTCACAGTTTAGTGGTGCATGCTGACGGTTTTCAGTAGAGCTGTGAAAGGTTAATAAAAACATTTTTAGCTTTATCTGTGCTCCTCTTTTCATACACATTAAATCAAATGTTCAAAGTCTCAATGGATTGCTTTATTAGAACTGGGGTCAACTGACCCAAGAGGCCAGCTTCCATTTCCATCCATTTAATGCATGGACACAGTTCAGTTTAATTTGCTGAATTCAAAGGGCAAAAAAGCACCGAGTGGCTTTGTAGAGGGGGAGATATTAGTATATAACAAATAAAAGAAAGTATTGCGATACCAAGATATTACCTGCTAAAATATTACCTTAGTGTTCGCTTTAGATAATACATGGTGATGCAGACCTCCCTGTTTTAATCTGAAGAAGTAGATTTACCTGCTGCATGTGCATGTAAGAGATTATTCTTCCAATTTGTAACGTGAGAAAAATAGTCACTACACAGAACTCTCAGAAATGCTCTAACTCCATTACTTTGTCACAGGCAGGATCATGATTTCCAGTACATCTGGCAACCAATTCAGTAGCCTTTAAACACTCCTGGAACTGTGTCCACTGTATGTGTTACCAGAGCTTTTTAAAAAGCTTTTTTTTTAAAAAAAAAAAAATAAAGCTTTTTTTTTTTTTTTTTTTTTTTTTTAAATAAAGCTTTTTAAAAAGCTTTTTTTAAAAAAAATAAAGCTTTTTATTTTTGCTACCTATCTCATGATATGAACAGTAACAAGAACCAAGCAAAAAATCCTTTGAAATTACTGAAGCTGGAATCTGATCAAATTAAGGTGGAAAAACAAAACAAACAAATAAAAACAAATAAATATATAATTTAATCAATTTCCTACAGTAAAAGTAGACTTTCATTATCTTGGGTACTACTGTCCCCTGGGATGGCCATTTACAGTCACATACATAGTGTTTATCCAATACAAAGGAAGTCATGATATTATAAGCACGTTAAATGTTCAAGACAACAGCAAATGAGAAAAGCTCAGACATTCAGTGGAGAAGTTTATTACTTTGTATTTTCTGGAAACAAAGGACTAGGCAAACTCCTGTTGACTTTAAAGGGACCATGAATGATATTCCTTTTAATTAAAGGAAGATTTAATTCTGACTTCTTAAACTTTTACCAGTTTTAGCATAATCACCCATCATGTAGAGAAGAAATGCATTTAGCACATCAAAATTTACTTTGAGAGTGCCTTGGTCCTTGCAAGTGTCCATAGTTACAACTACAAATGTGGCAGCAATAGCATAATCCATAGCTCCCTTATTCATGGCTCCATCTTCTCAAAGAAGGGGTTGCAGATGTATATGGGGAATTCACATCATGCTGTTGTAAATGATAATAGAATTTGAATTCTGTGACTCAGTGTTCATGGCCCTGTCTTGGAAAGATGTGCATCACTCATTCCTTATCTTTCAGTTGGAAAAGAAAAATGTCATAATATTAAAAGCCAGAAAGTCTTAAAATAGATGATGAGTGAGAAATGGCAGCAGGCTTGAAATGGTTACATAAAGTGGATCTGACAAAGTAAGAATAAAGCCATAGAAAGGCTGAGAACTAGGATGGCACTCGCATGCTATGCTACACAAGGATATGCATGTCTTCTCTTTGGCTCTAGTCTGCACATAATGTCATAGAGCTGGTTAATTTATTAAAAAAAAAATAAATTGTTCCAAAGTGCGTGACCATTTCTGTTGCTAAAATATGGGAAGTTTCACCTAACCAGATGCAACTATGAGTCAAATTTATGTCCAACTTTTTGGCTGTTCTGAAAGGGGATATCTTCATTTTATTAGCAGAGGGACTGTCAGCCTTCTTTCCCAACACAACTATATAAGGGCTGTTGCTATAATCAAGAAATCACTTGTTGCAGCAACACCTTTCAGTCTCTGTATCAGTCCGAAACTGTATTAACCTGTCGATCATTCAGCAGCAATTTTTTTTTTAGGAAGTAGAAGTTATCTAAACAGTAATTTGGGAGATTCTGGGTTGAAATCCCTGCAGCCATTTCAGCCTATTTGTTATATTTTCATCAGCCCTGTCAGTGAGGAAAAAGCAATGTGTTGTAAGCTTTCATGCCTGTTATTGAATGAGAAAAACTGACCTGGTCTTTTTGTAGCCCCTACTGCTGTACTGACTGGCCATGTTTAACATTCAATTGGTATTCAACTTAAAAATCAAATGCCTTGCATCTACTGGCATGACATTTGGTAGTGTAGCTTAAATTGATGTGTTCATCAAGATCTAAAAGTTTGTGCTAATGCAAGCAATTTTTCTTTTATCAGGCACTAACAGTGATACTTGATGTGGCATGTGAAGATAATAAAAATGCTTCTCAGAGAATGATTCCAGTCAACTTGTTCAGATGCTATGCTCAAATAAATGTGATAATAGTAATGTGTGACTAAACAGTAATAGCAGTAAATATTTTACTTAGACTATCATTTGAGGGGTTAGCAATCATGGTAGTATCCATAGTTGAACGTAACATTACACGTCATGCATTCTGACAGATATTCTTTTCTTTTTTAATTTCTTTTTTATGTTCTCACTACACCATTGTAATGTCAACAGCTCGCCCCGTTGGTAAGTAACCATCCTTCTATCCATTTTAGCATGGCTTCATGCAATGCTTCATCTTTCATTTGCAACAGCATTTAACTGGCTTGAGCTAGCAGCCAGTGCTTAATAGCGTTAACTTTATAACACCAGGCAAGTGATTTTGACTGACAAAGTGCTATTTCTGAACTTTCTATTTTCTGCTATGTCATGTATAAACACATTTGCTAAATCACCAATAAATACCATTCAGTGAAACTGGGGGTGTGTGGTGATACTAAGCCAAAATCACTCATTCAGATGGTTTTGACAGTCTATTTAAGGGCCTGGTATAAACGCCATTGAAATCAACAGAAAGGATTGTATTGACTTTGGTGAGCTTCTATCAGGCCCTAAATGATCAGCTCATTATGCTTTTATTGCATAGCAGTAAAAGCAAAGGCTTTGCATGTCCCGTCTTTCTTGTATCTTTCAAAGATTTTTGAAATGAAAATAGTCCTGAAATTGAAGAGGGGATGGAGTAGATTTCCGTGCTTGTTAAGAAAGTTCATCACAGATTTTTGTCCTTGGGTCATCTTGGAGTGCACTTTGGAATGCACTGTATAGGATGCAGACTGTTCTGAATAAAAATTCCAGGGGAAGACAATCTGGATTTTGAAATCCCACTGTGAAAATTTGATTCTTTCCTATGTCTTTGAAATTACTTTTAAAAATTTATAAAAATCTAACTGAGCATAGATTTATAAAAATCTAACTAATGGAAAAATTGCAACTGTCCATAGCTGAAATTCTCTTTTGGTGTTCACAAACACCCGGAACTTATTATTTAGTTTTCATTCACGGATGTTTACTCTGTGCCTATATGGATTTTCTGAACAATTTAACCAGTTGCACTTCTCTTCTGATTTTTGTAGTTTGCATTTAGATGTATCTTTTAGAATAATTATGTGTTTTTTGTTTTTTGTTTTGTTTTTTTTTTGTTTTGTTTTGTTTTGATTAGTGTGAAAAGTCTGTACTGGTGTTTACAGAGATTGCTGAGGGGGTTAGTCTTTCTTTATATAGTCAAAACTTATGTCACAAATATGTTTGACTACAGTTTGTATTTGACCTTGTCTCAGCTCTTCACTGTTACGAGGTTGGAGGAAAAGCAGTTGGAATAATTTAAAGATAAAATCCAGATTAGGCATCTGTTTCCAGAACTAAGATGGTCCTATGCTTATTGGTTTGCTTGAACTAGCATACATAGAGCCAAGCTGCAGTCATGGCATTGCTTATCCACAGCTAGAGAATTCCCTAAGTAGAAGAGCAATTCGAAGTTCTCCATTTGAAAAGTCAATAGCAAGCTTTAAACTCAAGTCACTAGTGTATTACTTTGGGAATCAGAATCATTAAGGTTGGAAAAGACCTTAAAGATCACCTGGTCCAACCACCCCCCTACCAACCAATGTCTCCCACTAAGCCATGTCCCTAAGCACCACGTCCAACCTTTCTTTAAACACCCCCAGGGATGGTGACGGCACCACTTCCCAGGGCAACCCATTCCAATGCCTGATTGCTCTTTCTGAGAAGAAATTTCTGCTAATTCCCAAACTGCACCTCCCCTGGTGCAACTTGAGGCCATTCCCTCTAGTCCCATCACTAGTTATCTGTGAGAAGAGGCCAACACCCAACTTTTCACACCTTCCTTTCAGGTGGTTGTAGAGAGCAATAAGGTCTCCCCTGAGCCTCCTCTTCTCCAGACTAAACAACCCCAGTTCCCTCAGCCTCTCCTCATAAGACTTGTGTTCCAGGCCCTTCACCAGCTTTGTAGCCCTTCTCTGGACACGCTCCAGGGCCTCCATGTCCTTCCTGTAGTGAGGGGCCCAAAGCTGAACACAGTACTTGAGGTGCGGCATCACTAGAGCCAAGTACAGGGGGATGATGACCTCCCTGGTTCTACTGGCTACACTATTCCTGATACAAGCCAGGATGCGTTGGCCTTTTAACCACCTGGGCACATTGACAGCTCATATTCTTAAGAATTTAATTCCCATGAGTTGTAATGGTAAAACTGGAGTAAATTTGTAATTTTTTTCCTTTGCTTAGAAAATTTAGAATTAATTCGGTATGCTTTTGATATAAATCTCTCATTTATTTTTTTTTATGGCTAATAATTAAATCTGCTTCTCAATTCACTATGAAAATGCTGCAATGTGAAAAACATTTTACTTTTATTTATTTTTCTCTCTGCTCACTATTAAAATAAAGGCAAAAAAATACTGAAGTAGAGATTGTTTCAAAATCAGTGAAAGCCACATAAAATAAATGACTGAAGATTCACAAGAAAATAATTTTAGGTTTTAGCAGCGCTGGTGGTGTCTCATTTTCGAGCACTGATTCTCTTTAAAGACTTCTCAGGCCATTGAGTTGTGAACGATTCCATATCCAAAGTGTATGTAGAAGCTTTCGGTATCAAGTTACTTTATGTCCAGGTGAATGATTCTCTTGTGTGACCATGCCATGGTCAATTTGTCATATTCCCTGCCCACACTATTTTACTTTGTAACGAATGAACATCTGGTGCAAAGAAAATTCTTCTTATTTATGATTTATTCAGGAAAACATAAATTAGAGTGGTTGACCTTAAAATAATCATTATATGGACATATGGTCTTTATCAAACTATTTAATTTAGTGTTTATCTTGTGAATTGTAAAAAGGTTTTAAAGTACATCCAACTCCAAAGATTTTTAACATCTGTAACTCCTATACAACTGAGTGTGCAGTGGTTGCAGTGTATAAGGAGATCATCTTCTTTGGATCACTTGTGTCTAAACCTGCACCTGTAGAAAAGGTTCCTTATGAGACTACCCTTGCCTCCCCTCCCCTCATTCCTCCTTCTTTCCTTCTTTTTACTTAAAGAGCTGGAATGGTTTCCACAGTTCATTCTGTTTCATTCAAAAGTAGACAAAGCAGGTGGCTACCTATCCTATTAAAAATTTAAAGCCAGGTAATGCAAAACGAAGTATCTTCCCTCTTTACCATCATTTCACCACCAAAATGCCCAAATGATCTTCTGTTGAAATTGTCATTTGACAAGAATAGTGAGTCAAATCTTTAACTTTTTAACTTTTTTGTTTGTTTGTTTAGAAATTTAAGTGGAATGCAAAGCAAAAATCACCTGTCCTTACAGAAAGGAATCTACACTCACAACTCTCTAGGAGAGTGACATTTTAACAGAAATATATTTATATATTAAGGTATAAGATGAACTGCAGGGGAGTAGTTTAAAATTTTATACTCTTTTCTGATACCTGCATATTATCTGGGTACCTCTACTTTTCATCACTACCTCCATTTCAAAGTAGATGTTTTTGGTCTTTTTTGTGTTTTAAACAAGACCAAAACATTTTATTTTACTGGCTTGTTGCTGAAGAATAAAGATATGTATTTTTAATGTTCAGGGATTGTTAATTCTTGTAATTCTTTGCAGTAGTTCTTACTGCAAGCTGAATAATTTCCATCTACTATTTAGCTTTACCTGTTTCAAATATTTGTATTCTGTTAGTTGTTTTAATTTAATTTAAATTTCATCTTGAATGGAAAATTCAGTAGTGGGATTACTTCTGCCACTGACCATGTTTGATTCAAGCAGTTTTTTAACATATGGTATGTGCTGCATAGACAAAATGAGGTATGGTTCTGCCTGAGGTGGATGGCAGCTGGTGAATTTAACAGCTCTATACCAGATTACTCATCATGTTTGGATTTGCTGCTAGGTATAAATGTGTTGCCTGTTTCTGAAATAGATGTTCTTTTATTTATAACCTTTTGAAATGATTTGCTACAGGATTTATAACAGATGGGTTTAGGAAACAAGATATTTATTCATATTTATCCCTATTTCTACTGTTATTTAACTTGTTGGATGGATCTTCCAGATGAGGAAGTTTATATTTTCTCAGTTTGGCATTCTGCTGTATTTCCTATAGCAGCTGTGCAGAAGAATAGCTATAAAAAGTATTCCAAAAGTTAAGAGGAGTTAAGTTTCATATAATCCTGCCTAAAAGTAACAGTAACCTGCTTTTTCAATTGTTATATTGCTCTGAGATATAGACTTAAAGTTGAGTTCAAATAGAAGATCTGTGGAGATCTGTGTATAATGCTTTCGTTACCTTTTTGCTAATCATGAAAAAGGTCATTCAGATGGCAAAGTACTGTTTTCAATTTATTTTCAACTGTGTTTCAACAGGTCAAAATACAGTTTTTTTGCATTTCAGTTGCCTTGTAGTTTACCTAATTACGTTTATTTAATTAATTGTCATATGATATGACTCATCTTCTCAGAAAGAATTGCCATTCAGTAAATAGCCAGATCATTTTGTCACCTGAATAGAAATTATCTGCAATTAACAAAGGAAGTAAAGGGAGACCAATCAAGTCGCAATAACCTTACTTCCCTACCATGTTGGAGAACAGAGAAACAGATAAGACATCTGCCATGAATTTTCTAAATTTCATACTAATTGAATACAGCCTATTCATATTTAAGTGAAATGTGGCTGTATGATGCATTTCACTCTGCTCTGGGAAGTTTTCATGTCATAAATCAACCTGGCATGGGTTAATGATCTATTAAGAGTGGTGCAGCAAGAAATAATATAGAAAGGTCTGTATATTTAAGCAAGGTTGCATTTGTTTGTGGCTGGAAATCACATTGTTTAGATGATAGCTGGCAGAGTTCTCTCTATCCTTTTCCATTTCATTCTGACTCTTGCAGGAAAGTCTATATAGTGTGAATACTTTTGTTTTTAGTGTATTCATGAAACTATCACCTTCACTTGAGACACTGAGGATTTATAAAACTACATCAGCAGTGGTAATTGGTGTGTGACAGAAGAGATGAGATCATGCTTGGCACTGCTGTGCCATCTTTCAGTGGCAGAAATCTAATATCTATATCAAAGTGCAGTATTTTGCCTGCCTGCCTGCTGCTATCGCATATAGAAATTTTCAGAAGAGGGTAAGGACACCAGAAGACATTAAGC